CATAGCACTCTGTAATAGGGCGGTGAATAGTTTAGGAGAGATAGTGTCTCCTTGCCTAATACCTTTCTCCAAGGGAAATGTGTCTGTGTCACCATAGTACATTTTTACAGCAGCTGTTGCGCTATCATATATATTTCGAAGAAGAGTTGTGTACCTATGGTCAATACTGCACTCTGTAAGAGCTCTTAACATGGAACTATGCTGGACTGAGTCAAATGCTTTCTCAAAGTCTACAAATATTAATATCAATGGCTTGTTGTATTCTATAACTTTCTCTATCAAGGATTTTATTACTTGTAGGTGGTCATTTGTTCCAAAGCCACTCCTAAATCCGGCCTGCTCTAGAGGTTGATGAAAATCTAGCTTAGGTCCCAGTCTGTTAGTAATTATTCTCATAAAGAGTTTATATAAATGAGATAATAAGTTGATAGGTCTGTAGTTGCCAATTTCTGTTACATCTCCTTTTTTATGCAATATTATCATAATGGCATTATTCCATTTTTCTGGCGTATTTCCTTCAAAGAGACAGGCATTATAAAGGGTTTTTTTTTATAAAAAGTTTATAATAATACTTATATAATAATTTATTATAATCCTTATCTTCACTCACAAACATGTATTACGTTAAATATTTTAAACTATCTGGTGCAAAGTTAACAATTTCCATAAGCTACTACAACAAAACAAACAAAATATTGTAAAATTTCCTATTTTTATTCCTAATCGTTTTTATAATCTTGCTCAGAGTTTGTTGGATTGTCCCTCGTTGTCACTTTTGATGTCATTTCAAAGATTGCACATGCGCAGTTGACGGATCGGGTCCCTGTAATTAATCCCTGCTGGCTAAGACTATTTTCTCTTCAGTTTTTTGTTAAAAAGTGGAACTAAAAAAGAAGATAATGTTCCGTAAAGGATTATCGGAAGACGAACTTCGCAGAATTGCTGAGGAGAGTGACTTTATTGATATCAGTATGCCTGAAAGTACGTTTTATGATTCCGATGCTAATCCAGTGTACAATGAAAATGTTACTGATGGTTCTTCAGACTCGTGCAGTAGTGAATATGAGTCTCGTAGAAAAAAGCTAAAATTTGCAAACATAAAATTGCAAAGAATTTACTGCAGGTCCTAGTTTTCACCAAAAGAAGCCTGATACAAGAAGGATAGGTAAGTTAGGAATGCTCAATTTCTATTTGTAGTTTACTTTTTTTGCTTTGTAGAAAAAGCTGAATCTGCAAACGTTAGTCTAGAAGCTGTTATTGGCGATGTTGTATCAAGAAATAAAATAACATGAAGCGATGTGCCAAATCCAGATGATCTCAATAAGTTCAAACTATCCTTTACTTTAGGAATAATCAGGAAGAAATTGCAAAACTTACAGACCACAAACCAATCGGTAGTCGATGCAAAATGAAAAATAGGTGACATGAAATATCTATACAGTAATACAAAAGTTGTTATAGGAAAATGGAAAGATAAACGGGACGTTTTGTTTTTAACGACTAAGGATATTCTTTTGATGATAGATGTTCAAACAAAACGTGGACCTGTTCCAAACCATCGACCATTGTTGACTATTGCAAAATATTTTATCGACGTGTCGGACCAAAAGGCTGCATATAATTCCCCTGTTCGACGGAGTATAAAGTGGTATCGTAAATTGGCTGTGAAATTACTAACAAATACCGCTTAGTTCTCTACAAATCTGTAACCGGCAAACATCTCTCAATTACTGAGTTCCGTGAACAGATTGTTCAGTCTTTTAATGCCACAAACAACTTCTGAAAACAGTTTAACAATTCTGCATACGTTGGACGAGAAAGAGAAAAGGGGAAGGTGTTATAAGAATATATGTGTGTTCGGTGTTTTGTGAATATTCATAAATGTTCTTTGAAAAAATAAATTGTTTTTGTATTTTTAAACTTAAAATATCTTAGGGAGAAGGTATTTGATTATCTTCCTGGTGTGAGCCAATAATGCACACATCGTCCAAATTAAAACAAACTACAAAAATAATTATAAATAGTGTGTACCGTGTTGGTACATGCTGTTTTTTCCTTAAAAAAGTGTATTTTTTATTTTAGAATAGAAATAAATAGTTATACACATTCTTATATCAAAATTATTTAAAAAATGTTCCGGTCTGACAGAAAACTTATATCGTGATGGTCCGGGACTTAACGTGTTAATCTGTTAATTAAATTAGGAATAAAGTTGATTAAAAAATGAAATTCTAATGTTATAACCTATATAAATCAATCTACAATTGAAATTTTCTTTTACATATTTTTAATAGCATCTTTTATATCTAGCAAAGTTTGAATTTTTACCAATTTTAGCCAAGTTCATCAAAAAATCAGGTGGCTCACTGATAGTATGATATGGACCTTTAAAGTATTGTAGAAAGTTTCCAACGTAAATACAAAATATGAAATGGCATAATTATATTAGATATATAGTTTAACACAACCATTAAAACACCTCGCTAAATAAAAAACGAGATGTGGCACTCAAAGAGTGGCCGAGGAAGAGAAGCATAGCTTTGTTATCGTCTACGCACGAAGCGATGGTTTACTTTACTAACAAACACGCATGGGACTGCGTTTGCTACTCCAGGTAGTGTGTGGTCGCGCGATCTGTCGTTACTTTCGTTTTATTTTTTCACGCCTCTGCGCGATCCATTGCATCGATGAATGTATTCCGTCCGTAGTCCGCGATAAGAAAGCTATGTTTCCAAAAATATTGTTAAATATATTAGATTTAGTCAAGCAACTAGAGACAATAAAGATAGCGATGCTATGTGTCATACGTTGAGTAGTATAATACAGAAAACTGTACTGATAAATATTTCTGACATTAATACAGTGTGCCCAATGAAAAAGTTTCAGATTCAAATTTGAATACGGTTCTAAACTTTTTTGTGGAAAGCCTCTCGAAGAATCTGTTATAACATTTAAAAATATTGAATTATGCTAGATGGGTCATGTTGTACAATATTCGCTGTCCAAGAGTGTAAATTTAATAAAAACTGTCTAATAAAGTTCCGTCCAAGGAGAACGAGTTCACCAATTCATTCCGGGCACTATGACTACTATTTCAACCGAAGACAATGTTCAACGTGCCAACAAATGGGTTAAGTTACGGCGGTCTGCACAAAAGTACTTGGCCAATTTAAGAATATTTTAATACACAGTACACAATGTGATCTTTTACAAAAAATGCATTTCCATTATTGTAAAATCTAAAAAATGCAAGTATTGAGTAAAAATCTTCTTCTTCCTTCTAGTATGTAGCCTTCTAAGCCTATTTCTTCTTCAATATTAGCCTCCTAAATTGGTTAAATTATCGCACTATCTTTTTCTTGGTCTGCTACTACTTTTTCGTCCATTTGGTGACTTATCTCGTGCTATTCGTACTATCCTATCCTCTGCCATTCTACTAATGTGTTTGATCCACTTCTGTTTCCGTTTTGCTGCTTTATAGATTCTTGTTTTTGGGTCTTTTCTTAGGTGTTTGTTCTTCCAGATTGTGTCATTAAGAGATCCCGCCGCTTTACTTGTTTTTAAGCTTTGTTGTCGTACTTATTCTTCAACATCCCGTAACTAGTTATATCTATTCCAAGATATCTAAACCTTGCTTCCTGCTTTATTATTTTCCCATCAATTTCGATTTTGCATCGTAGTGGGTGTTCAGATGTCATTAGATTTTTATGCTGATATTATCATATTGTATTTCTTGGCAGTTTTATTGAAGATGTGTGTTAATCTTTGGAGCTCGTCTTCTGTCTCGGCGATTAATGCGCGTGGTCTGCATAACATAATATTTGGATTTCTTTGTTCCCCATTCTGTAACCATGACCTTTACGTACTGATTGTATTATTTCATCCATTATTATATTAAAGAGAAGTGGGCTTAACGAGTCGCCCTGTCTGACTCCGCTTTGTACTGGTATACACTGTGTTGGTTTTCCATTTATCTTTGCCTGTATTCGATTATGGAAGTAGATAATTTCGATGGTTTGTATAATATTGATTGGTTTTGTTTCTTTTATACAGTAGATGTAAGACGTCTTCGACTTGGATGTAATCGAAAGCGTTTGTCAGGTCTACAAAACATAGATATGCTGGTTTATTGTACTCGATCGCCTTTTCTGTGATTTGTCACAGAAAGACAATTTTCAGCAAGATGAAACCAATACTCATACTAAAAGGGAGCCATTGAATGTTGTACGCGTACTTTTTCTTCCTAAGATTTTTACCAAGGTTTGAAGACATAATTTGACCCCATAGATCACTCGAACTTAGCCCATGTGATTTTTTTTTCTGATTAGTTGATCCAGCAACACAAGTTTCTCATGAAAATATACGACATTATTAAACCATATTATTCGAAATGAAGTTGAGAATATTTTCCCGCAACTCATACCAAAAATGTTCATAAGTTTACGATCTCGGTTAGAAAAGTGTATGCGGGCGAATTGTCAAATTTTCGAATGATATACGCACTTTTTGGTAATATCTAATGAAAATAATTGCTAATATGTATACTTTCTCACTGGACATACTGCCTAACAAAGTAAATAATCATTATAATCTATAACAGGAATGTTCTAAAAACGAAATGCCTCATATCACGTTATATCTTAAATTAAAATAAAAAAAATATTAATATGAGTGAAAGTAGATGTGTAATTTCGTTCAATAGCTGTCATTTTCACCTTACCATTAGTTAAAATTGAAAGGTGAAAATGCTATAAATAAAATATTAATGCTAAAAATAGCTGAAAACTAATATTAAATGGTTGAAAAGAGTTTAAAATGAATACACGAGCAAATAAGACGAGCTAACCTCAAAAAACGACAGTATGACGTAACACAAACGTTAACAACATTACAATGGAGCAACTATTTATCCTTTGGTCACAAATCTTCTATTAAGGGTACTGACACACTATGTTTTCCAGTCTGTTAAGTAAACAAAGCCTTGGGAAAATTGACTTCTTTTAAAATGCTTTTTTAGCAGCATTCTTTCTCTCGTTAATATCAATAATCGCCAAATTCTTTGAGGCAACAACACAGTGAAGAAGGGAAATTCCTGTCTTAATGAAACATATTGGCGCTGAAAGGAATATGATGATCCTCCATAATCCCAAACCTGCAACTGCAAATATAATGATTTTAATATTTTTATAATAAAAATGAATAATAATAGATTAGTTCTGCGATCATTGGGGGCCTATGGTTTGGTTAACTATTTGGCAATTGTTAACTAGTGTTAAAATTGTAAAAAAAGTATAAGAAAAGTAGCAGTATATAGGAAAGAATTACCTGAAAGTTGAAGATCCAAAAATTTTGTTTAAATTATTGTTATGTAAGTTATTTTTTAGAATTATTGCTAGACAATAGCAACAATGGTGTCACTAATACATGTAAAACTATATATCATTGCCATACGTTATATACAATAAATTTTGGATATAAATTACCAAAAACACCCCATAAAGATTGTTTTAAAATACAAACCCATTATGAATAAAGACGTACCATCAGATGTAGTTTATAAAGTAAATGATTAAGTCTGTAAATCAACATATAGGGGACAAACGCATCAGTATTTACGTAGACGAATTATTACACACAAAACAGTATAAAAGGCAATAAAACAAATACTAAAACCTTAGCTAAAGATTCTTTGGGAGAAGCATTTTTTCGACTTTGAAAATATACAGATTTTAGAAAGGAAATCAGATTATATTAAAAGATGTACATTGGATATGATTCTCGTTAAAAAATAACCGATCTGTATCAATAATAGAAGAGAGTAGAGTAAATTTTTATTTGCATACATTTTTAAACATAATATAACGTCACATTATTAATTACAAATTAAATATGCTGATCAAGGAGAAGGATAGGCCAGGCACTCCGCCACAGTATAGGGCTGAATTTCAACTAGGTGTTGAAAAACCTTTCTTTTAAAAGCTCTATCCTGTTGAATATCAGATCGTAGACTATTATAATATTTAACATATGCATACAAAGGACTTCTCTTTGTTATAGACAATATGTTAAGTGGAAAATTCAAATTAAGACTTCTTGTATATTTATAATTGGGAAGCAAGTAATAAAACAAAGAAAAATTTTAAAAGGGAATATAATACATTCAAATATATAGATGGCTGAGAAAGTGAATATATTGAGTAATTTGAATCGGCCTCTACAGGATTCTCCCGCCTTTAGTCCTAGGATCACCCGGACTGCCTTTTTTGGACTATAAATACAGTTGAGCTATCTACTGCAGCACCCCAGAAGATTACTCCATATCGCATAACAGAATAAAGTTGTTTTTTAGTTATTTTGTCAGTTTACTGATAGTAAAATCCCCTGGTCTATATAGCTCTTTAACACTCTTAATAAGTAGCAGGCTCTATTCAGTTTTTTTGTTGTATTTTCTATTTGTTTCCTCCAATTCAGATTCTGGTCAATATGAAGACCAAGAAATATAATTGATCTAACAGGTTCCGTGTTTTGTGATAAAAAATTAATTGTATCTGGAAACTGTTCTCGTGACTGGCTGGTGCTAAAACTAGACAAAAACTGTCTTATCAGTATAAAGCAACAACCGATTTCCACTGAACCACTGTTCAGCCTTGCTTAGAATTTGCTCTGCCACTGTGATCAGTGTTTCTTCCCAGAAAAGCACATTTGAGTCATCAGCGAAATTTACAAGGTTTGAGGAACTACTAACGATCACATTTAGAAGGTCGTTTATGTAGAACGAAAAGAGAAAAGGCCTCAAGACACTCCCCTTGTGGTATGCCTAATCTCCTTCTCTCCAAGCATACCTTTTACGACCTATCTGTGAGGAATGATTTTATCCATTTTAATGCCAGCCTCTGTATTCCATAAAGATATAATTTTTATAATAAAAGAATATGATCTCGGCTATCGAAAGCCTTAGATAGGTCCAAAAAAGCACCTAGTGTTTTCATCTTTGCCTCCAGTTTTTCTAAAATTTTGGATATAAAATCATAGGTAGCTGTCTTAACAGATCTCCCTACGAGAAAACCATCCTGTGAACTACTAAATAAGTTGTTTGTAGTAAAAAAGTTTTGTAATCTGAAATATATTGCTTTTTCGAATATTTTTGAGAATGATGGAAGAAGGCATATTTATCTATAGTTCTCCATCTTAGTAACATCACCTTTTTATGTAGTGGCTTGACAATTGCCAGTTTTAAACTTTGAGGAAATTGACCTTGCCTGAAATAAGCATTAACTATAAAAGAAAGAGGAAGAGAAATCTCCGATGAAACATATTTAATTAAGTTGGTTGATATTTCATCATAAGCAGAGCTATGCTTGTTTAATAAGTTATTTATTATGTGACTTATTTCTTTCTCTGAAACGGGAGTTTCAGAGAAATTTCAGGGAAAATTCATTCAGGGAGATGCAGGGAGATGTAAACATTAAATCGTGTCCGAACCTATATGAGCTGCCGACAACGTCGGCAGACGAAATAAAGATGGACATTTCGGTTAGTTTTTAAATATTTTTGAAGAACTATTACTTGCATTTATGCATAAAATATTCATTTGGACTCATTTGGAACATCTTTAACAATTATCTGTTAAATTTATCGTTGTTCAAGAGAATCAAATATTTATTAAAAATCCTTTGTAAAAGGTATATATTTGAATAGAACTCAAATGGGCTAAGTTAAACAGACAAAACGTTTTCGGAATCCATATTCCATCATCAGTGTCCTAGAAAATTAATTAATTCGCACCTCTGCAGCGGAACACTTAAACACTGTTCTTTCTGATAAACTAGAAATATCTAGAGACGATATATAAAGAAACTATAAAGATGTATACCGCACAGCTACCATGTTTCTGTGAACTGCTTCTACAATATGAAGAGATCAGTTTAAAATTCCGCACATTGTAGTCCCGAAGTTGTTCTTCTGTTTTCCGGTGCTCAGTTAAACAAAGAGCAAAGCATTCATCATGATCTTCTAATATAAAATTATTGGCATCAATAATTGTTTTAATTGCGTATGTAAGTGGATTACTGATAATTTCTTTTGGTGTGTGCCGTAGACTGTCTTTTGACACTGGGGTGCCTCTGTACATTCTGAAAATGGATAAAAATTACACCGTTCGACCATAATTCTTGCTGCATTAAATGAGGTATTTTTAGTTCTGGAACAGTAATTTTAAATGAACTTTTGTACTTATCTGTCCTGGTTTTCATTTTTTCGCAGATAACGTTTTCATCTAGTTTTCTTTCTTTAAGATAGTTAAGTAGGATATTATAGGATACTATAATATAATGAAACCGATATCACCGAATTTTCCAAAATATATTATAGTTGAATTAATTAATCGTAAACACCTTTACTACGACACTAGCACAGTTCACATCTGGAAGTGCAGATAGAATCCATAGGTATTTTCACAACAGTATAAGATGTAGTCTACGTTATACATAATAAAAGGTTCATTGATAATTAGTCGGAACGTTTGAATAACTCATGTTTTATTAATCCCAAATTATGACAAAAATATTATATAATATTATTTAATATATATAATATATTATATAAATGAGGAAATAACAAAGAACATATATGAGAAAATATTAATTTTAAACTAGCTGAAGTTCGCCGACTTCACATTTCATCATTCAGTTGCCATAGAAACCTCTGACTTGCAGAAGACCCTTGGACTTACCGTTAACCAACGGCCCTGGGACCAGCAACTCTGCGTTTTATACAGCCAAGAAAACTCTGTTACTTCAACGCAGCCAGTTTTGTAGTCATTTTAGATTTCCCAACCAAGTGGTTAGCGTACAAAAGTGCCATTTTCTTTGATGGCCATGAAGGAAAACAATTTAATAATACCGTTTTCGTCTCCACTTCCCTAATTATGATAACACCAAAGAGATTGATGATGATGATAAATTCACAGTAAGCTAGAAATAATATTAAACTATTTCTTTTGTAAGCTTTTATATTTCTATAAAATATAAGAAAAATTTTAAAATCAACAATGTACTTACTGATAGGGCCTTCAGAAAAGTGAAGAAGATATAAAGCAGCATAAAATGCTTCATTGCCGGCACACATTACGAACAGCACATTTTTATTGGTGTAATAGAGTCTCATTATTGGATTTTCTGACATGTCAACAAACTTGTGGCTTGTTTTACCCTGCAAAATGGATCTAAAAAGGTATAAATAGTTAGATTGTTAACATTAAATAATTATACATCAGCAATTTTAAATATTCTTTATTTATTTATCATTTTAAGTATATCACAGGCGTAAGATAAATAATTAAATCCTACTAAATCTCCTCCCATTTCCAAATAATATAATTGAAATAATTTAAAAGAGTTGATTCTTCTAACATTTTAATATATTTTTTTAAAATTCATTTCAATCACTTAATATTTTTACTCATTTTTATAATAATTTATGTATATATTGGTTACATTTATTTATTAGATCATTATTTTTTATTGGTTTGATGTACCAGCGATATTTGTATTCACTATATGCAAGTTTGGAAGAGCGACACCTAGTGTGATAGATCAGCAAAATTATTAGCACTTTTAATATATTACTCATATGTAAATTGCAAATAAAACGACCTATTTATTACAATTGTAATTTCTATTAGAAATCTACTTCTCTCTTCTTCTTTCTCTTTTCATTAATTTTTGCTTATAATTTGGAAACCAATAGAACTTGAATTGACTATTTCTTGTAGTATTTTTACAATTTATAGTTGATTTGCAAAATACTATTTTCTTCAATGATAGTACTTGTGAAACGTGCTAATAAAAATGCAAGGTTTCACCGCTTCACGCGCACGACCTTTTCTTGTATCCCCTCCAAGTACTTGCACACAGTGAATACATTTTGATAGACGCAAAAAGAATGAAATTTATTGAGAGATTTGAAGGATGAAACTTATAAAGAGATTATGAGGAGATTTGGAGGACACCAATCAAATTTAATAAGTAAATAACTTGAAGACATTATCTTAATTATACATAGAAGTGAGAAATATTTCATTCACTAGTTAACAAAAAAAAAGTCCAGTAACTTACGAATGTAAATATATCCAATGGCAGGCGATGTCAATGCACATAGACAGAATAAACAGAAACATGTACTTTGGATAGAAATGTGCCAGTACTGCCACCAATCCCATAGTTCCACAACGATCTGTCAGTTGATCAAGCATAGCCCCAAATTTGGTGCTCTGATTAAAGTATCTAAAATAAATAATGTATAAAAGAATTCAAATTAGAATTAAGCTTTATTGTCACTGAAAATTGTCAGAAAATAACAATAATAATTACAATTTACTGAAATTACATAAATCGTCAATATCACAAAATAAACAATTCATTTCAAACTTTAAATAAATTGCATAATAACACCTAGAACTAATAAGTTGAAGTTGCTGCATATGATACCCAAATATAGATAAAAATACTTTAGTTACTTGTACATAAGGTAAGACCCACAAGGTTTACTTTAACTTGTTTATTAATGATATTTCTATACTTATTAGCTGTCATATTTATGTCTTGTTAATTCAAATAAAGTCAGTTTTTCACACGGAGTTTGATCATTTACCAGCGGCACACGCGAACTGCATATCAAGTCAATCCATGGTCCTTGGAGCCGGATTGTAAAAATGCATAAAATAAACTTGAATTAGAAAGAGGCGTGAACACTGATTGTCTAAGTATCCGAGAAGAACCTGACTTCACTATATAATTGGTCTCTTTACAATGGTCTGCAGTTGAATAAAAATAAGATAATAATAATTTAGCAATTTAAAAATAATATTGTTTCTGACTACCATATTAATAAAAGCCTTCTGTTAAAAGTGACTGAAATAAGAGATTTGGGGTGTTATTTGACAGTTCCTTGTCATTTATCCCTTCCATCAACAATTTGTTAAATAAAACATACCTCAATCTAGGTTTTTATCACAAGAAACTCTCGAGATCTTTCAGTACAGACGTAGAGTATTTTATCTTACTTTCATCTGTAGCATTGTTTTATGCTTCTATAGTATGATGACTGTACTATTTTAAACATATTTACACCGTTGAAAAAATTCAAAATAAGTCTCTGGATTTGTGCTTATGAATTACTTAAAGAACATGTCTTTGATGGAACTAAGTTCAAGGCTAAATATCAGTTCCCTAGAAGACTACAGAACTAAATGTGATCTAGTTTTTCTCTATAAACTACTTAACCATACCACTGACTGTTCTTATTTATTAAGTCTTAGCAACTAAGATGTAGGACTAGAATTCTTAGAGACATACCTTTATTTTCTATAAAACACTATCACAAAAATTATGGCAAATTGTCTCGTATTAACAGAATTCAGATACTGGGAAATAACTTTAGTTAATTTTATGATCTGGTGGATATAAAATCTGTAAGATTTAAGCTCTGTTTGACTAAGTATGTTAGGAATTGAATATAAGTGACCTTTAACTTGGAGTATTCATTTTATTTTAATAAAATTTTCAGGAAAATAAAATTTTTCAAATTTTGTGCTGGTAAATTCCCAAAATAAGAAAACCATTGCAATAAGAATTATTGCTACTGACCTAGGGAGGAACCCTAGACTATTCAAGCAGATATTAGACTAATTCTTCTACAGTTCTTGCATTGCAATCAAGTTGATCAGCCTATTTATGCAGTGTGCATTAAAAGGCCTTTAGCCACTCCTCTAGTATCAATTTGTTTTACCTTATAAGTACTCTATTGTCAGACTGTTCCGTGTGATTTGTGGAATCAGTTCCACGTTGTTCTCCGAGTGCAGAGGTTCCCTCTCACCCGGCTCTGGAACCCAATTGAGCCATGTGTTACCTTTAGTCAAATTTAATTTAATATAGAACATCACAGTTATTTTATAACACAATGTACAACATTTCATAACTAAATGTAATTTAAAGGGTTTTTACCCTAATATTTTGGTGGCTCAGGCATTATGACCTAGCATTTTCGATTTTAATAACCTGATGATGGACTGTGTAGTCCGAAAACGTTTGTTTTATTGATGTGACCCTTTTAAGGGTTTTTTAAATAAATATACCCATTTACAAAGATTAACCTCTTTTTGTTATACGTGGTATACAGCCAGCTACAGGAATTTTTCCTTGTGGATTTTAAAACTAAAATGTCCCAGTTTGCATTTCATGGTAGAGTAGAAAATTTTATACAAATATGTGCCTAATTTTTAAATTCTTTTAGGGAACATTTTCTTCCATTTTCTATTACATTCTCGTTTTTTTTTTCTCAATTATTCATTATTGTTATCATTATTAGAGAAACCTTCATATATGTACATATGACACTTGTTCTTGTTCTTTTAAAAACCTTGGTTAGTTATACAAATTATATATGACTTGCAGTTCAAGCAGGATACAGGTATCCTAGAAATATGAAAAATTGCTTGTCTTACCTTGCAGCATGTCCATCAAAAGCGTCTAGTAGGGCTGATATTACATAACATGAACAAGCAATAATATAGTTTGTTGGCATAAAATAAAAGGAAACGATAGCCAAAATAATTCTTGCATATCCTAAAAAAATAATAATTAAATTTGAATATAACATTTAGACTTTTACATACCAATTATGTTTGGCACAAATATAAAAATGTTTTCGTCGTACATTGCGAATTACTTGCAGAATATGCTAAAAATAGATTTTAAGTTAATTTTTAATACTTTTTAAAAGGATTTATTGATATTGATGTTTTGGTAAAAAATGTTGATAATGCGGCTGCGTCATCGAAATTGAGAAATTAAGCAAATCCTGCATGTAGGCAACCTAATTTACACATCAGTAAAAATGATATTTTAATTATTTAATCTTGCACAACTATTTTATAACTATACTACATAATGTAAAAATTGCAATAAAATATTAAAATTTTCTTTATTTGTTTGATGTATATGAACTACCATTCCATAAAAATTTACAAGAATTTAATGAAAAATGTCCCATTTTATTAGTATTTATATGTTAAAAGGTGTAGCATTTCTATAATACGACAATTTTATTTATTAATAACTATTTTTATTTCAATAATTTAAATTTAAAACGTGGGCATTCTGGACACACCCTTAATTTTTCTCGTTTAGCCATCTCGTGGTTAAGCTTGTAACTAAATTTAATAAAAAGTCCCTAAATTTTTAGTGTCTGGATATTCTTTTGTCACCAGAAATCAATGTTGGTAAGCGTTAGTACAATTTGGGATGTCGAATGGCGTACTAGCGTGACTGAGTATCGTCGTTGTTCTCCCTTTTAAAACAAAATAATGCCGCGTTCTAAGAAAGTTGTAAGTTAATAATCGTGTCAGTGAATATTTAGAATACAGAGCTATTCTATTTTAAGTATATTAGTCGCTTTATATACTTTCTGCATGTCTGCGAATGAGTAAAAAAATGGTAATGTCATTTTTCCAAGATCCTTCTTTATTTGCCTGATCTGTTTATTTTTCATTTTTCTTTTTTAAATTGATTTTGTAGTGCTTAATATGAAGCTAAAATGCAATTTGCGCCTTTCTAAATTATCGATTAAGTAGTTTTTTACGTTTTATTCTTTTTTTCTTGCTTGTAGTTGCGTTAAAAATTCATAACCAAAAAGTGCAAAAAAAAACTTCTCCTTCAGGTCTTTGGGCTTAGTAGAGCTTGAATACGATTGTTTAAACTTTCTGATAGAGCTTAGAAATCTTATTCAGTAATCTTAGGGCGTTGGTTAACGCCATATTTGTCTTGAAATAAAAATTTCAGTCTCTGTTACTTAACAACTCCTTATGAATTTTTGATGCCTCTATATTGAGCTTTAATAATATATGAATTACCCTTCCTGGTACTAAGAATTCTTGAATCAGTCAATTTCTAGCTAAAATATAGAAAATTAACTGTATGCTTGTTTATTTTTTTTGCTTAGTAGATTATTTAACACCTAAATGTTTGCATTACAGAATTAAAGATTTACAATACTCTTACTATTTGTTTGCTAGTCTAAAAAGATGACGGATGAAGAAGAAAATATGTCTGATAGTGATTTTGGGGAAGATGAAGATCCTGATAAAATTGAGGTGCCAGGTAAGTAGTCCTATTTAGTAATTTTAATCTCATCTCATTACTAATTATTTAATCACATCTATTGTTAATACTTTTCTCAGGCAACTTGGCAAACATTTTTAACAATCAATTTTTACATATTACATTATGGTTATATACATTACCGTAAGAGGTTCTTCAATCAGATGTATTCTGTTGGATTTCTTTATGTAACCTCTTTATATTAACGATATTTTATTGTATGTATATATTATCTATTCCTTCATCTAATGCTTTATATATCTTTATTTTCTTTAGACTAAGAATAAGTCCAAGTCAGAATAATGTGGAATCAATAATGTCATTTGGAATAATACTGGATTATAATAAAAATGGATTTTATTTGTCTTTCCATTGAAAACTTTTTATGAAGGCCATACGGGGTTTGCATGATGGTTTTAACCTTGCATGTATAACAGACAGGCAAGCTCTAGCGTGTATGTGATAAAACTGTATAGTTATCGGTGCATGTACATGCAACTGAGCAAATATGAATATTTATATTTTATGCTGCTTGGTTTTGCTTGCCTACTAGCATACTCTAGCATGTGTGGCATCCAGCGAGCTTGCCCGCAATAGTTCTCATAGCATCACATGTTTCAGGTATTATTTGGCCCAAAGCCTGAAGTGATATAATAGCAGAATATTTGAAACACTAGTATGTTCTTCCTGTTGCAAGAAATATTAACGTTACTGCTAGTCTCTAATATGCTGATATTGCTTTGCTCATAATAGTATCTTGTCTTTGTATTAACAGAGTAATCAATGATAATAGTTTCAAATAAAGTTTTTCATCTATTTGTAAATAATTTTTATAATCTGTTGGTTTAAATCTCAATTCATTTATCAAATTTACATGGTAGAAATGATTTCTTTTTAATAACCAGCATTTAGACCATTCAGTATGATCTCTCCTCTTTTCTTTTCTGAAGAAAGTGTTAAGCCAAGTACAGCCATTACATTGTTGTTGTTCATTGTAGTTTGGTAGGTATATACCGCACAAAGTACCATAGGCGTCCTGCACACACTGTCATGGAGCTTAACAGAAGAGTTAATGGCAAAACTGTGCATGCAAACCCTAACATGTATGTGTAATATGGAACTCAGTTATACCTGTTGGTTATGAATGCAAGGTTAAAACCATCATGCAAACCTTAACGTGTATGGCCTCCATAAGACAATATAAGATTTTGTTTTAAATTTTTATGTGGCCAACAACTATTTTCAGATTTCCAAAGTAACCATGGCTTCACCTATTCTGGCAAATATTGCAAACTTAGTAATGAAAAAAAAAAAAAAAAAATGAAAAGTATACAAAACTCTTCATTTATTACCAACTAGTTTACAAAAAATGTTTGGGCTGGAAGGTATACAAAGTTTAACACTCCATTCAAAACTTTTGAAAAGTTATTTTACAACAAAATAATTAATCCAAATTTATAAATCCTTTCACTAAAAAAATTGTTAACATTAAAAATCATTTTAATAACAACCATCTTAAAAAATCGATAACCTGCGTACCATTATTCCATACAAAATTTGATCGTCTTGAGAGGAAATTGTAGTAAAGAATAATAAAGTCACTATTTTTGAAAGATGATGCAATATCATTAGACAAGTTGTTAAAAGGTAATAGTGAAGAAGAGCCATCACAATTTTCATCTTCTGACGACTCCGACCCATTATTCCAATACTACCTATTCCTTCACAACCCTCCTTCAACTGGTAGTGCAAAGTAGATGGGTTCTCTTCTTTATATTTGAACATTGCTGATACCTGGTCTTGGTCCAATAGTTTTAATATTGTCAAAATTTTAACCACTAATGTACTTAGTTTTGTTCCCAAAACAGGTTCCTTTCCACTAAATCTTGGGCTCTAATCTATAGATGGACCTTTAAACATATGATTGTGAAAAAAATCTGTCTTTAGATCTGTAATATGCCAATTCTGCCATTAAACTTGCTGAGTCATCTGGGTATTTTATTATCAATAAACTAGTACCACGAATTTGCTCCACATTGGTCAAATTAATACCATTAAACTGATGATATAATATATTAGCTGCCAAAGGCATTTGGTTTATAGCAGTGTCTTTCTTTTTCCTAAAAATTCCTGCCAATGGTTCTTTTCTTGCTTCATGTAAAGAGACTTAAAGATATCACTGTTTGGAAATGTTTTTCCAGGCTAGATAGATACATTCTACTACTTGACTTAATTTTTTCTTATGTGACTCATCAATTGGAACTACAGTCCTTCTAGAGCCTTGGGCTTCCTCAAATTCCCTATTAAGTGTTTGTCTTCTCTATTACCTTAGTCCAATCTCCCTTAAGATCTCCATTAATTTCGCTCTCTTAAACCTAAGAGAGTGGTATAGTTGCAGCTCAGTAGATCTTTTTAGAGCAGCATCCAATAAGGTACGGATAGGTGTGATGATAGCCAAACTCCTATAGGAGAAGGAACTACAAGAAGAAGAATCTCCCTTAAATCTTCCTGTACATAGTCTAGATATTGTTTAGGTTAATTACTATTTAACTGGGAATAAGCCACAATTAAAGATAAAAATATGTTTATTGACATTTCAATTTCCACTTCGGAAATCGTTCTCAAAATACCTATGGTATTGTTATTTTCCTCGTATTATTCCTTGTGTATGCTGTAGGATCTCGTTCTAAAATGTTCTGTTCTATTCGATCGATTGTTGAAAATTCCTTATTTATAAACGATAAAGGATAATCATTTTTTAATAAAACAGATGTTAACAAATGTTTCTCCTCCAAGAACGAATTTTCGTTAGAACAAGTAATTTTGGCTCTATCGTATAAGGATTTAATTATTCCCTTTTTTACATTAATATTGTGATTTGATTTGAAATTTAAATATCTATTGGTGTGTGTTGGTTTTCTATACACCTAAGTCTCATATCCAGTATCGTTCTTAGAGATTAAAACATCCAGGAAAGGTAGCGTGTTATTATATTCCTTTTCCATGGTAAATGTTATTGTCTCTTCTTTATCGTTTATATCATTTAGGGCCGGTTTCACCAATAACAAATAAATCACTGAATAGTTAATCGTCGAATAAAATTTAATTTAAAATTTAATCCACAGTTAGTTATTTGTCGAATAAGTTCAAAGTGTAATGATTTTCCACAGACTGTACTCGTTGACACCTCTCTTGGCCTCCACCTCTTAGGTGTTTGGCCAGGCACATCGCACTATTTTTCACTGTAATCATATACATAACCTATAATATTTGATATTGGTTGATTAATTTGTCAAAATAATAATAATTGTCAATGCCAATGGCCAATACATATTTGAAACGATCCTGTTGCATAAAAACGAAGAGCAAGATTTCGCACATCTATGGGTCTTTTTTTGTTGCTTACAGGATGCAATTTGATCGGATGGTTACCGATCAAATTTAATAAATGATCTACTGAATTTTTTGATACTCTAAACCTAGTTTTAACATCATCAAATTCAACAAAAGGGTTTCTTCTTTGCAGTTGCCAGCAGCGTGGTCTTCTCCTTCGCTGTTCATTTCCGTCATCAGAGGATGATGATGATGAAGATAATATTAGAAAATAAATATATTTGTATACAAAATTTGACATTAAAAATCAAATGTATCAAACTTTTATTTGACTGACATTATATGTCAATAATTTCCAATTCACAAATTATTGGCTTTATAAAAAGATGCACTAGACACTTCCAGAATATTGAAGTGATTAAATTACTATATTGTTCTTCAGTTAGACCTCATCTAGAGACAGTCCAACACAAGTTCTTGAAATATGTAGCATATAAACAGGGTATACCTTTGGAATTAAATCCAGTAAATTATGATCAAATTGAAACCCAAATTAGTATTCTCTCATTGTATAACCTTCAATTAATTAAAAATGCAAAGATTCTTTATGTCCTATTTAAATTTTACAGTCTTGTGTCCTCAGCTGCTTGAACAGGTTGGTCTATATGTACCTCTCCATAGAACACAATTAACCAAACTTTTTATGTTCCTCTTCACAGAACCTACTATGCATATAATAATTTTTTACCTTGAGCACTAAGATGGGCAAATATTCACCCAGAATAGATTTTTATATACGAAGTATATCAAGTTGCCTCAAGAAAATAGAACAGTATTAACTATGTAATAATGTAATACGGTTTCATCAATTTTGGCCAAGTTATATTGTCCCAGCACTATTGTAACTCATTTATATCCTTTTAATAAAACTATTGCAATGTTACTTTTTTATAGGAGGCGGTAAAGATCTGGCTGCAGCAGCTGCAATGCTGGAATCAAGGGAGAAACAACTTAAACAAGAAGCCCTAAAACAAGAACCTTTCAAAGAAGAATACAAACCCGACATGGCTAAAATGATGCAAATGCCAATGAATGCTTTCCCTAAAATGGCCCAGAGTATACATCCCAGTACATATGACATGATGAGACCACCTACAAGTAAGTGAATTATAAGTTTAGACAAAATATACAAATTGAAAACAATAAATATAATAGTTCATTGATTTTAATATATTCATAATATAAAAGACATTATATTCAGTTGTATTTTTAACAATTTTATTTCTTATATGCTTATATTTCTTCAATACATGATTTTTTAAGATCCTATTTTTTCCGTTTCGTCCAGTAAATGCTACTACAGAAAGATTAGAAAAAGGTTCAGGTCTCATGATTATGTTTTTGCTCATTTTTGGTAGATTATTTGTTGCTTTCACTTTACAAAGTGTATAGTTCTAGCATACAATCCACTATGTTTCAATTTGTTAATATACTTCACTTATTTTTGTATAGTAGCCATTATATTCCTGTTTTTTTAATTGCAATATCTTAGTGTAGCAATAAAGTACACTGCCCAGCATAAGTCGGGTCATCCAGTAATTTGTAGTTATTTTAAAAACTTTATTTTTTTTATTATTTTATTAGTTGTAAAATAGATAACGAAATGATTGCTCACAAAAAAAAATGTGGTCAAAGGTCATTGAGACTAATTAAAAGTAGTAATTGATATGCTAACAAAAGAAATGTTCATGCAAGCATTAAAAATATACCTCTACATGCCGCAACTGATTCCACCAATTATAAGTCGTTCAGAGATACACACTGAGCTGAGTTAATAAGACACAATTGTGATTCATTGGAAAAAAGTACTCAACTCTGATCTGCTGTTGTCCAAGCCAAGTATTCTCGTGCAAAATTCAATAAGACAGTCTAGTGTTTACAGGAACACAGGTCTAGGTTATATATCTCATTTTTTTTTGAGATCATTACGTAGGTGACTGTGAAAACACTGGAAATGAAACGCGGTGATCCCTAGCTGCTGTAGGCCTGTCTAGCCCAGAACTAGACCAAGGTTTTTCACAGACCACGTCCATGTTCTAAAGCTGCCAAAATTCTTGCAACAACATAATTTATGCTCATTGCGATACACTCAATCATAACACTACAAAAATAAGTTGCAATTGAAACCACAAAAATAAAAACTATGCTGGACTTGTATCGAAACAACAATTTTTTTCAACATTGGTTAACTTTGTTAAAAACCGAAAAAAATAAATGTTCTAAAATAACTTTTAATAATTATGGCGTGACCCTAATTTTATACCCGGCAGTGTATGTTACCAATTTGATTAAATAGTAGTAATCATTTAAGACATTGGGATTCTTTTAGCAAAGTACTTAGTTACTTGGGATGAATATTAGTGTAGAGCTATATCAGTACTTAATCATGCCACAAATATTTGTCAAAAACATATTTTTTATTAATATATTATCCTTGTGTTTTTACATGTTAGAGTCACCAGTATAAAATATATCTAAAAATATTCTTTCATCTTCCTAAGATTAAATTGAGAATAATCTATTATTTATATTCAGTGAAAAACAGACCACACCAAACTGTGGTTTTGTCAAGAGGTAAATAAACTCTCTAAATTAAAACGCAAATGCTACCTGAGATATAAAAGCACACACAAAAAACAAGTAAGAAACAAAGTAAACGCAAGAATAAAATCAATCAAAAGAGAACATTGGGCTAAATTCACCAGTGACATGGACTACGACCTACATGGTGCCAAAAAGAAAGTATGAAAAATGCTTCAGAACAGGAAAAAATCAGTTAACGAGTTCGTGCAGACCAAGGGAGTACCTAGACATGGCAGCATTTTAAAAAGCTATATGATGCTGAAGAAACACTGAAAATAAACGAATATGAAGCAGATATACAAGGTACAATCAATGACGAAGAGGTAGAAGCAAAGATCAAGAAGCTAAAAAACAGAAAATCATCTGGAACAGATGGTATTCCCAATGAACTCTTAAAATATGGAGACCCTGAACTTGCAAGTGAACTGTCACAACTACACAACTATTTAACAGAATCTTAAATGACACAGAAAGAGAATCACAATCCCCATATTTAAAAAAGGACAAAAAACTTGCCTACAAAACTACAGAGGAATAACCCTCTTAAATACGATGAAACTTTTCACGAGTATTCTTAAGGACAAATTGGAAAGGCAAATCACTAATGCTGAAGAACAACGAGGTTTTACAAGGGGACGGTCTATAATAGATGCAGTATTCATAATAAAGCAAATAAAAGAAAAAGCTGTAGAGTTCGGCATGCCAGCGTATATTTGCTTCATTGATTTGACGAAGGCGTTTGACAGGGTTCGCCTGGGAGAAATTCTAAATATATTAATAGAAAATAAATCACCGACCATCATAACAAAGATAGTCCATAACCTAAATAACAACAATGTAACCAAAGTTAGTAATATATGTAAAAAACGAGTTCTATTGTATATGAGCAAGAAATAAGAAAAGAATGTCAGCTGTATATATCAGAGTTGTTTGAAGATAACAGGAATAATATTGTCGAATTCTACCAAAACTGTACTGACGGCTCAGAAATTATAAAATGCGAAGTAGAACATGCTATAAATAATGCTAAAATTAGAAAAGCTTGTGGTCCAGATGATACACCAACTGAGTTGCTGAAACTATTAGAGAATGAAGACATAAAAGTAGTAGTAAGACTTTTTAATTCAATATATAACACCGGAGTGATTCCCGCAGATTGGCTCAAATCCATCTTTATCGCAATACCTAAAAAACACAATGCGGGAAAATGCTCAGAATGTCGATTAATTAACCTAATGAGCCTCTTAAAATTTTCCTCAGCATACTTCACAACAGAATTAGACGCAAATGCGAAGAAGATCTTGAAGATACCCAATTTGGTTTTAGAAATGCTATGGGAACCAGGGAGGCACTTTTTGCGCTTATTCATTCTATTACAAAAATGCCGTGATCAAAGAAAATATGTATTTGCATGTTTTGTGGACTTCGAAAAGACATTCGATAAAGTACAGCATGTAAAATTAATGCAAATACTGAAAAATATCGGAATAGATGACAAGGATCATTAAAAATTTGTACTGGAATCAAACTGCTATAGTAAAAATTGGAGATAACTACACCCATGAAATCCCCATACAACGAGGAGTCAGACAAGGTTGCATTTTGTCGTCAAAATGTTTACTCGAACCAGCTATTTAAAAAGGCACTTGAGAGACAACCATATGGAATAAAAATTAACGAGGAACTACTTAGTGTGATTAGATATGCAGACGATACAGTAATTCTATCAGATAATATTGAAGGTCTTCAAATTCTGCTTGATCGTATTCACGAGGTAGGAGAGGAAGTGGGCATTAAAATAAACTCGAACAAAACCAAATTTTTAGTGTTTAGTCGTGACCCACATCCCGATGCAAAGCTTCAATTGAACGGAATCCAAGTTGAGAAAGTTCACAAAATGACATATTTGGGAACTGTGATAACGGGCCAACTAGATCCTAGAAATAAAACATAGAGTAGCAATGACTAAAATTACTTTTATGAAAATGAAGTAATTTCTTTGCAATAACCATCTCAGTTTAGAACTAAGGCAAAGAATGGTTAAGTGTTATGTTTGCTCCGTACTTTTGTATAGTGCAGAAGTGTGGACGCTAAAAGTATCGATCATGAACAAAATTGAAGCATTGGAAATGTGGGTTCATAGACAAATGCTGAAGATACCTTGGACAGCAAGAAAAACTAATGAAGAAGTACTAATGAGTGTCAACAAAGACAGAGAGCTGCTAAAGACTGTTAAACATCGAAAAATGTCTTATCTGGGACATATAGTAAGGGGAAGTCGATATAAAATTTTACAACTGATCCTTAAAGGCAAAATAGAGGACCGTAGAGGTGTAGGAAGAAAACAAGTTTCTTGGTTAAAAAACATTCGTGAATGGACTCAGATACTAAATGCAGGACAATTATTCCATATTGCAGAAGATCGAGAAGCCTTCGCAATGGTGATCGCCAACGTCGGATAATTCTGATATGGCACGCGAAAAAGAAGAAGAACCAAAGTTAGAGCAGGAGACCAATTCACTGAAAATATTCCATCATCGGAATCCCTTCTTGTTTAACCTACTCATGGGCAAAATTATAAACAAAGTAACATCACTTAAACTCGGATACAGAATGGGCAACAAAAGAATTGGTATGGTATATTACGCAGATAATGTAGCAATTATTGCCGAATCAGAAGATGATCTTCAGAGACAGCTCTTTCAGTTCTTTCAAATAAACAGATGCTAAGGGTTGCCGAAATGAAAACCCTAAGAACAATAGTGGGCAAAACATGAAGATGGAGGGATATTTGTCAATCTACCTCCCAGGAAATTAACCAGAGGCAGCTTCAGAATTAAACAGATCGAAAGATCTCAAAGAACTAGAAGAAGAAGAAAAACAGATATTTGATTGTCTTAGATTGGTGAAAATTTCTTGAGTTGATCTGAATTTGATGTTAAGGCTGTTTTCGCAGTTATAGCATACTGCGATTTGAAGTGGGCGTATCACTTACTTTTCTACACAGCTTAGTCAGTTTGGATGTTTATTCAGTGGCGCCGGCCCACGGGTTGTTTAATGACAATAAATGCATTATTCCCCATTCAAATTAGTTTTGTCGAATACTTTTTTTTAGATTAATTATCGTAGATAATGTTTTAAAAATAATTAATCACATTTTTAATTTATATGTCTTAGCTAAACATAGTATTAAATAAAAATTTGTGAAACGTGACTGCAAAAAACACCATGGTGTTTATTTATAATAAATTTAAAATAACACAAGAATATTATTATCAAAAAAATTACAATTTGTTGTCACAAACAAATAAACAATTTCGCAGTTATAGCTTGAAAATTATTTCAAGAAGTTATTTATTTGTTAGAGAAAACTGATATTAGCGTAGTAAAAAACTAAAGAAAAAATATTTTTATTTATCTATAAAAAATTGGTACCTGCGAAACCATCATAATAGTAAATGTATTTATCTGGCAAGTATTTCGAGGCGACGCACTGCGAGGAAAAAGTTCTCTGAATGGAATATACATTATTTTAATATATTTATAGGTTGCAGTTACATAAGAAAAGTATCCAATTGATGAATAAAACACAAATCGTGGATAGTTATTTCATCATCATCAGTGGCATTACAGCTCGTCATGAGCCAAAGGCTTCTTCAGAACAATCTTCTTTCGCCCCTGCCTCTGGCAACTTTCTCCATGCTTTAACTCCGATGGATTTTAGATCATCCTCTATGTTATCTTGATACCTAAGTTTTGGTCTTCCTCTGGATCGTCTTCCCACTGGTCCTCTTCGGTCGAAAATTTTTCTGATCGTTTCATCTTCATCTCGCCTAATTACATGTCCTATCCATCAAAGGCGTACTAATTTAATACATTTTACAACGTCAGGTACTACACCTGAAGAAGCATCGTAGTTTACTTTATACGATCTTTTTGACCAAGCACCATCAGCTATATCGGTTATTAACCCATTTCCGTCGGAATCTACTTCACCAATTTCTTTGGCTAAAGCTAATTCCTCCCGTCCAGCCTCTTCTAAGGAATCACAAAGTGTTTGGCCGATGATATCTGCAACTGTTTCCGTATGTTTTGCATACTGCCTGTAGGACATCACAGGTATATTTAATGCAGCGTGCTGCTGCTGTATGTCTGAATAACCAGAACCATTCAAGTTCAGTGAATTGTTACCAGAATCCTATGTTGCTATCTCATCTTCAATATTCCACATTTGACATTTAAAAGTCAATGTACTTATTAATCCGTCCATTTTTTCTTTGATAATCTCCATATTAGAAAAGTTGCATGAAAATGGAGAATGATTATTAAAACCTTGAATAGATTTAATGAAAAAGTTTATGTCCACTATTCTTCTGCCTTCTACCGAAAAAGATGGTTTTGGCGGAGAGGCAATATCAACTGACTGAGAATGACAGCTATTACTAGAAATAACGATAAAACTTAAAGTATTTTCTTCAAATGATATTATTTGTTATTAATATTATTTAAGAGTAAAACATTGGTAATATTTTGACCATAAACAAATAATATGTAAGGTCATGAACCCTCTATTTACTTACTTAGTAAAAAGGGTTACTTACGAATCGACACTACAACTAGGTAAAGTTATCTCCAAACTATTTATTAAAGATTATTTGTTGACACATACAAAAAACTGACATTTCGAATGTCAGATATATATATATATATATATATATATATATATATATATAATATATATATATATATATAATATATATATATATATAGTATAAGTTAAATAAAAGCTTTTAAAAACGGTTGTAATATAAATAATAAAAAATTACTGCAGTGCAATTGCTCTCCTTTTCCTTGACATAGGACGTTTACTGGGACTCATTTTTTATCTTGTCTCCTATAACTTATATCACTAACCTAATGTAATACTTAAAAATACGCGTAAACTAAAGAACTTTTAACTTATACCACTAAACTAATAATATATTACTTAACATACACGTAAACTAAATAATTTCAATGTTTTCAAAATAAATAAGAATACTGTAAACTGTAAAAACTAAGCAAGTTGATAAAGAAAATACAAGAATGAAAGAACTAAAATGGATTCTAATTCAAGCGAACTGACCGTACCCATAGAGAAATAAAAATAAGACCGTACCGTACGCTCATGAGATTTGACGTCACTAATGCGAAACGATCAAGCTCAGCGACAATGATGAGGAACACGTTTCACTATTAGATTTCAGTAGTTTTTAGCAATTTTCTTCAAAGTTTGAATACGCTTTTCTCGATTATTACTGGACACAGAAAGGTGAAAACAGAATCAACGATTACAGAAAAAAAAACTCTTTCAACTGATGGGCGTGAAAAGTTTGGTTATAATAGAACGTTAAACAGTATAATCCAATTTTCAACAGAAAATTCAAAAAAATAAAAAAAGTAAAACCATCAGTTTAAAGGCAACATAATTTCGTATAACATGTCCAAATTTCGAGACATTTCGTCGGTAAATAACAGAGAAAAAATTTTGGTGCACCGATAAAACAGCCTTAAAACCAACTGTTTTGTAGGTTTCCAAGGGTTGATGCACAATTTTATTCTAATTATGTATTCTTGTATTTACAAGAAAGTATTTAGCTATATTTTGAACCTGTGGCATGCAAAATTTCAGATTTTTGTCATTGTTTTGATAAAATATTCATCTTTGGATCATCAAACATATTTGGCTTTATCTTTTGGCATTCATTAGCTACCTATAAAATTGTTAATAGTTAACAGTTAATCTATAATTCACTTTTACAATGAATGGCACATATACAAATCTGTGTAAAATGCACCTTTTTATGTACTCTTCGAACATTTTGTATGTTTATGTCATGTGTTTTAAGTTTAATACTATAATATTACGATCTGAATTCTTTGAAGTGTATTTTAGAACATAAAAATAAATATTCAAAATATGTATATATTGAAGACAAATTAAAAGTTTATGTAATAGGAAACATTAAAAACAATATTTTGTTATTTGTTGATTATATTTTCCAGTGGGTTCCCCATACGGGATGAGCAGTGTGGCCGCAATGGCAAGTATGCTCAACAGTTTGGGGAGCCCGATCAACGTCAGCTCTTTATTCCCACCACAAGCTTCTGGCACGGGAGCAGGACCTGGCTTCAACGCTGCACAGTTTCTGCAGCAGAGTAAGTCCTATATCAGGAGCTGTGAGTGTCGTAATAGATGTTTATTTTATTGTCTTTCTTGAATTTTCTTTTGCTCTACACGATGTCATGTCTCGGTGGCTATTCATCTTTTGTTGTTTGAATTATATCGTTTTATAATTGTGACGAACAAAGCTATTGACAATTCTAGTTACTTTTAACAATCACTAAGTCATCTCACGACTGAATAGTAAAGTTACTTAGTGGTGAAATGGATATTAATCTATAGAAGTAACTTCTAAAAATCTTTCTGCCAAAATGGAAAATGTTTATCCAGAAAGAATATTTTAGTGAACTAAAATGTAATAATAGTCCAGTCGTCGGAGATGAAAATGCCACTGAATCTCTAAAATTTATATGAACAAGCTGAATTTTGCTGAGAATGTTAATTTTGGTACCCCAAAAAAGATGCAAAAAGTTTGGCGCAGAAACTTGTCTGCAAATGTCCGTTACGACCATAAATACATGGAAAAGATCTTTTTAGAATCTGTCACAAGAATTAAGATAGCTCCGAAACGGAAAATATGTGTCTAGATCTTTTGGACTATACACAAAAGATCTTTCAGGTCGCTATGGAAAGGTCTATGATGCCCAACAAACCATTGAAATCTACAAAGGTTAATTCAGCTGAAGATCTAAATGTAGTTCTCGAGTTGAATTTGATCGTCTTCAGTTGGTCTTTACTTAAAGAAGAAAAACGTTAATTCGTTGTTTTTTCAAACAAAAGTATTGATAAAATGGATAAAAGAATTACAAAATTATTATACTTGATATCTTTTTCATTTACTTAATGATTATTCGATTCATGATCTGCATTAAGTGTGGTTTGTCACATTATAACTTTATAGTTGAAATAACAAAAGAGAGAATTTACTATAAGACTAGACATACAAGACATCTTTTTCCGCTGCACGTAGAATGGTAGAATGGAAATTTGGCTTTTTATCTGATAGTGTACTGTCATAGTTTTAGTCTATCGATAATTTTAAGAGCTTAATACTAAACATAACCATATCTATTTAACAAGTAGGTAAAAGTATCTTTTAAGGATGGCTGTAATAGTAAATTACTTAGGAATTAAAGTAACTTATTTAATCCCACCAATAGAAATAGTTTTCATTTACGGGATTAAGTAAGGTACTTAAGTTTCGCAGTGTTTATATTATTTTTTTTATATTTCCAGGAACAATATTACTAAATTTAGTTAATATGTATATAGATACAAATGGCTCAATTTCACTTTAGCCATATGCGCAATATTTAGTGATATGCGCAAATCACGAAGAATGAGTATGGCGACAAAATAGAAAGGATTGTCTCGCCAATGAGAGAAAAGAACTTCTCCCTACCCCGAGATCTGCCCATCTCAAGATCAGAGACAAAACTCGATTTGGACAAGCAGTATAGGTCATACAGTACGTTAAATTTGAAATTAGATATACACCCTATAAATGGCAACACTGCGCGCCGTCGACTTTCCACGAACATCAGTTGCCCCGTCGCCAATAACAGTGCAGATTTTTAATTTATTTTTGTAAACAACATGTCTGTTTATACGCCTGCGGGAAATGCAACGTCCTCAAAAAGTTAACGTCTGGACCAGCATTTTATGAGACCACATAATAGGTCCATTTTTTATTAAGGCAACTTGAATAGTAGAGTATACCTCGATTTGTTACAGAATCATGTTCTTCTCGCTATTCTCAATCTTCCTGATGTAAATCTGGTGAATGCTTGGTTTCATCAAGACGGCTGTTCAGTTCACAACGATCGAATAATTAGTGAGTACGTAAACAATACTTTCCCGAATCGAGTAATCAGTTCAACAGCCGATATTAAGTGGCCTGCGCGATCTCTAGATTTTACACCCATTTACTTTTTTTGGGGACAATTAAAAAGCACCATCTACGATCATCCTGAGGCTAGAGCCCAAAATTTGGATGAATTAAAAAACCGAATAAGAGAGGTCTCCAATTCTGTTACTGCAGAAACTTTTACATCTGTCTGCAGAAGTTTTTATGACAGATTGGGATCGTGTTCCGCCGTAGAAGGTCAAATATTTGAATCATTTCTGTGGGGCATAAAGAATTATTTCTTATTTTATTAGGAATTATTTTTTATTTTCAATAAAGCATATTTTGTTTTATCTATTTTTAATTCCTGAATATTGGGGGCTTTTTGTTTTATAAACATTGTTTAAAGTGGTCCACGCCAAAACGGTAAAATCACACCTTACAATCCATCTTCTAGACATTATTTAGACATTGCCTAATCTCACGCGCATTGTGAGGTGGAGCTCCATCATGTTACAGTCAAATACTTGGCTGCTTGCTACTTGGTTTGGGGTATTATCTGAAGGTTTCAAATGAAATAAATTAAAATGCCAATGAAAAATACGTGAATTGCGAAATAACCGAACCAACTGAAGTAAGAAAAAAACGAAAAATCTGGCAACAGTGTAATCTATGTTTTTCACTTTTTAAGATTGTTTAAAAATAAATCAAAATCAGCTGTACGTCTTCACCGATTTTTCATCATCTACCCCCCATATACCTTATATAACCTTCAGATGTCTGTATAAGATTTTTTCAGCTGTTTTTCTTCATGGAGTGGAGTATTACATAAAAATATTCAGTATTTCTTAAGAATTTCAAAAAGAAAAAAATATATACGATGATCTATTTGAAATATAAATACAAAAAAAAAACGAAAAATCTGACGACAATGTAAATACTACCGTAATATCGGCCGTATTACATTACAAAATTTATATAAATCGTGCAGGCCATTTCCGAGGTCTCTAAGGTGCATTTAGACGGGCTAGTTTTTAAAGCAATATGTTGCCTAAAATATGTATTCGGTATGTTGCTGGCAACATTGCAGCCGTCTAATGAAAATTTCGCCCTATAACCGAGCCATGGGGCCGAAATCTTGCTGGTATTTGAACACTATTGCAGTTGGTGGCCAATGCTTTGCCGATAAAGTCGAACTGCCGTGGAAAATATTACATGTTGCTCGGCTACTCGTAGAAGTTTAATTTGTTTGTATTAATAAACAATTAATGCTAAATTGTTTAAATTATCGCGCCATCTTTTTCTTGGTCTGACAATATTTCTTCGACCATTAGGTGACTTATCTCATGCTATTCGTACTATCCTATCTTCTGCTATTCTACTAATGTGTTCTTTCAACCCCTGTTTCTGTTTTGTCACCCATCGATTTATGTCTTCTATATTGCATGCTTTTCTTATCTTTTCGCTTCTCTCCCTATCTAAGAGACTTCCCTGATATTCGTCGAAGTATTTTTATCTTTGTCGTTTCTAGGAATCGCCCAGTTTTAGATGTCTCAGGTCTTATCTTCGCCGTGTATGTTAATATAGGTCTAATTGCTGCTTTACAGATTCCTGTTTTTGTGTCATGTCTTAGGTGTTTGTTCTTCCAGATTGTGTCATTAACAGATCCCGCCGCTTTATTTGCTTTTAAGATTTGTTGTCGTACTTCTTCTTTAACATCTCCGTAACTAGTTATGTCTATTCCCAGATATCTAAACCTTGCTTCCTGCTTTATTATTTTTCCATTAATTTCGATTTTACATCGTAATGGCTACTTCAACATCATCAGTACTCATGTACATCAGTACATGAGTACTGATGATGTTATACATTTGATTTTTTCTGCTGATATTATCATATTGTATTTCTTAGCTGTTGTATTGAAGATATGTGTTAATCTTTGGAGCTCGTCTTCTGTCTCGGCGATTAATGCGGCGTCGTCTGCATAACATATTATTTGGATTTCTTTGTTCCTCATTCTGTAAACTAGTATAGAAGTCACCAGTCGCCAAAAACCGAAGAGCGATTGCTAATCTTGTTGAGATTGGTTTCTCATGTCTGTATCTTTCTCCTCTATTCTTGGCCCTACCGTATTTATTAATAGTTGGAAATTACTTTTTGACATTCTTGTAAAATTCCTAAACAAATAATTGTCTAGCATTATTTCGCTAGTTAAATTACTCATTGTTTCGCGTTTACTTAAAAAAGGGCGTATCCACATTTTTCGTTTTTTATTTTTGTTTTTTTTTTGTATCGTCGTAGCACAATTAAGGTCGCAGCAACTTGTACAATGTCGAACATCTATATTTTTGACTTCGTCTCATCAATACTTCAAGGGTATTTTTCGTTTAAAACGAAAATATAATGCAACAAGCATGGCTGGAAATTATGCAGTAAATATTTTTTATTATTGTTGACAGGCCATACGTAAATATTTCTGTTTTCACAAATATCGCTAAGCAATATTTCTACTAAATATTGCCCAAAATAGGCAATTTTAGTGGCCCGTCTAAATGCAGCTTCAGGCTCTTCTCGCTATAGTTTAATTTATACAACCAAAAAGGTTAATTGAATTTATTCATAAGCATTTATGTTTATTATAGAGAAACATAGTGAAATTTAACGATAGCTGGAAATGAATTATGAAGGTTTAAATATTATAAAATAAATAGCATTCTGTATTAAATATGGGAAATAATTTTAGTAGAAAAATAAAAGTAGATATTTTAGAGCATTCAGTTTTTTCCGAAATATTTGCTTCTTAATTTGGAATCGAGAACTGAACCAGCTGACAGTGACTTTATGTAAATAATAATTCCACATTTTCTCGATAGACAACCTTCATAGCACATTTAAAACTAACAAATTGTCGAAATATGGACGTTATCTAAAAATTAACAACTAGTTTATCTTAAGTAACATGTTTAAATAACCCATCAAGCGACATTACCGAAAAATTGCATAATCTTAACTTGATAAATCTGTACCTATTTATTACTATTTAAAATAGTTATAAGTATCACAAAGCTTATATTGTCAAACCAATTTCTGTTTTATTTAACGAATCTTGATGTGTTTTTGCATTACAAACTAGTCTATGTTGCGAGACCGGTCCGGTATTAAAAATGTTTCTGATTCGTGTTCTTTGCGGATTATTGTTCAAAAATGCCC